TTCATTACGTAGCCAGTTTAAAGAAACTTTAAAAAAAAAAAAAACACTTTCTCCCCTATTAACAGTATTTTAATACTCCCTGAAATTGACCCAGCTATAAAATAACTGCTGAACAATATGAATTTTACTTTTACATTAATTAAGAGAGTAACTCATAGCTGGGGAGTAATGATTTTTTTTTTTCCAATCTGTAAAAATATGGCCGAAAATCGATTACACTGTAGTGGCTAGTTTGTTAACAATGGCATATGTATTTTGTATTTCATTGTATATTTTTCTTCAAATTGAGAACTTAAGCAGTATCTTGTGGGATTTTTATTCAGGAAGCTTGTTTCTCTTTTGCATTTATAGAGAGCATGTTTGTATTAAAGAATACCTTCCATACTATAGAACACATTTCAGGGAGATTTCTTTCTACCCTCCCTGATTTTTGCTAATAATGATTTCAAAATATAAATTTTGTTTTTGATCAGATATGTCTTTTTCTGTATATGCGAAGATAATTCCAGTAATACGTTCATAGTCAATGAATGCCTCACCAAAATACTGGACAAAGATTCAAATGAGGTTTTCTAAGTAAAAATTTATTTTCAAAGGCATTTTAATTTTACATTTTTAATTATAGAAAGTGTTATATCCTAATGTGATTTAAATTGGTATGTTTATTGGTATGGAAGGATATCTTTTAATTATGAAACAGTTATATGGCTGTTTGGCTGTATGGGTACTGTTTATATCATAAAATGAATTAGATTTTCTTGCTGAAAAGCACAAAAATCTATGTATAGGATGGTTATGAAATTTTGTCAGGTTTTTTTTTCTGTTTAGAATGCAGTACCTATACATGACATTCAGATTTGGAACACTTGCCATTATAAAATTACTGTTGAACCTTAAGAAACTTCCTATTTATTTTTAAATGTGAATGCATAACTGCAAATAAATGTTGAGTGTAATGTGTATTAAAGTTTCTTGTGGGATATCAGTTGAATTTATTACAGTTCCTTGAACAAATTGGCTTTATTTATAAGATTATATTCGTAGTATGATTCTACCCTAAATAAAGCAAAAGGTGGTTGATAATGCCTTTCAAGTTGTTGAATTGAATTGATTGAGAAACATACTTGGGATTCACTGGATTTTTCTTGTCACAAGTGGCTGCAGAAAATGTTTCTCTTATTCCTTACCCAAAAGAGTTGGGCAGATTATTATTAAAATAAAATTAGTGTCAATGACTAATAATCCATAGATTTTAGCAACTTAATTACCATTACCTTATTATTTCATAAAGCCAATTCCTTAGTGTATGCAGTTATTTGCTTTTTTTTCTAATTAGTATATCCTACACTGAACTTTTTCAATGGACCATCATCTGCTTTATCGCATGTTTCATTGGATTGTTCATACTTGCCTGTTTAATGAGAATGTTGCATAGTTTGTGTCTTTTGAACATAGGTTTTCTTTCTCTTGCTTCATATGAATCTGCTGGATTTTAGTATTATCTGTGTAGTTTGCTTCAAGTAATCCTTAAACATTTTTCTTTACCCCCACCCTTTTTTTATGAAAGGTTAACCTGTAAGTTTTTGAGAGAACACCATTAAAGCACCTCATGGTTTGTTTTCTGTTTGTATTTTTTTTCCCGTTGTGTATAAATGTATTTATATGTATGTACCTTTGAATTGCAGAATGCAGTTCTGAGTGGCACTTGTTTTAGCTCTTTGTAAGTTTAAGGATTTTGATGGTAAATATATGTTTGATTAATTCCCACTTCAAATTTTTAAAACATAAAATATTAGCATGTAATCAGTATGTTTTATGATCTATTATCTATGGTGTGCTGTGCCTTTTAAGCAAGGACAGACTATTTGTTGCTTTGGTCCACATAATCACATCTCATTACAGTGGACTGTAGATTTCCTTTATGTCAAATATGGTTTTAAATTAGTGGACTGTTTGAGTTATTATCATTATCATTGCCAGTAGAGGTTTTTTTCGAATGGGATTTGACATAGCACAGCAATTTTCCAATCCATTTATTCCGTATGTACAACACCTAAAATTTGATAGTTGATTTTGATATCAGGCGACAAATGGTCCACTGGCTTCTTTTGGAAATGTTAGCAAACAAAAATATATATACCAAAATTTGGATTAAATTCCTAAATAACTTTCAAAGAACGTAAATCACTTATAAAAAGAGATGAAAAGTGAGAAAGATTTTAACTGTTTAACTTCTGAGAAGTGTGTTTGAATAGACAATTCAGAAATGTAATCATTCACATTTACTAATGTTTCTTTGGGGGAAAACAGATTTCATTATTAAACTCTGAAATTTCAACTGGCTTTGAAGGAAGAATCTAAGTCCGTCTGTTTAATCGCTCATCTTTTTATTAAAAATGTTTTGACACTTGATTGAGCGAGATAAGCAGTTCATCATGGTTTTTGGTGTTCTCTCAATCTTTGAAGTTTTTTTAATTCCTTTTGTTTTTCTTTTTCCAAGAGTATGCCATATATGTTGCTGCCCCTTATTATAGGGGGTGGTAATAAACAGCACTGGTGAAATCTTATGTTTATTATCATACACAAATTCTGTTGGTTTCTGTTTCTGAGTTATTTGTTGTTTTTTCTTTATTTTTTCTCCTTCCCCCTCATTTGCTCATGTCTTGGTTGGCGTTTGGTGGTGTATAACCGTGATTGCGTTACCTTAGCAATAACAATTGGTCGTCTTGGTTACGTTTGTCCTCAAGAGGTGGCCCCCATGCTACAGCAGTTTATAAGACCCTGGTGTGTATTATTCAATCTTTTTTTTTAATTCATTTTTCTTCACTCTTTCTTTCTATTTCTATCTCACTTTTAGATATATTTTCAGTTGGTTACAAAAATCACAATCCTTAATCATTGCCAACCATGTGACTAATCTTGTCCTATCAGGTTTGTGAGGTTTTTCAGTAGCATCGTCATGTATATTTATTTTATGTTGTGGCTAACGACTAATTGATGCATGGGATAAGATTGTCACATGCTTGCTGTGTTAAAAAAGCTTGATTATACATAAAAAGCATTTAAATATCCACCAGTAAAATAAAGATGCATGCAAATTCTATAAATTGAGGTTTTTGCATTATGTTTCTTTTTAGAATTAATTTGAAAACTTGGATTGCATTAAGAAATACATGTTTAAATTTGTTATGTATAAAAATCTTATTTGCTTGTTAATGTAAAAGTTAAACATCTACACCATAAGCTGTATATTAATAGTTTCTATTGTGGCAGTATATCCTATGTTCTGCTGCTTTCAATTGACAATCTTTCAATTCAAGTCATTTTTTTTAGTAGTGTTTAATGGAATACAAGTCATAATACAGTTTTTTAAATTGTTAATTTATTCTTGGCTCAAGCTCATTGATTTAAATGGGAGATTAAAATCAATTATTATTACTTAGATGCAGTCTATTAGTAAGAATTGTGAATTTCATGATTTCTACTATGTTGAGATTAAATGGGCCCAGCATAATACAGGAAGTGTGAGAAACTTAAGCTTTATGAAAATTCTTTGAATATAAACATTATCTCTACTCTGGTGCTTATTCCATTAAATACTGTCCATTAGTATTGTAGTTGAACGTGCTTCTTACTTAAATGCTAAACTCAATTCTATGATTTAATAGGTGCACCTCTCTGAGAAACATAAGGGACAATGAGGAAAAGGATTCAGCATTTCGTGGGATTTGTACCATGATCAGTGTGAATCCCAGTGGAGTAATCCAAGTAAGATGTTCATAAGGATTTAACTTTTAATATTCTGAATAATGAAACATCAATGGAGGAAATATTTTAGAACTATAATTATAAAAATATTCACTTAGGATACTAAAGCAAACTATGTTTCAAATGTTGTATATATCCTAATATCTAGAAATGATAATGCCTATTTTTTATTTCCTAAATCTTTTTTTCTTATATAATAATAGATTAGGAGAAAATTATATTCTTGACTTGAATTAAGTCATAGCTTCTTTCATCCATATTCAAATCTCATTTATTTACTTTGTAAATGTCTCCTATCCATGAATATCAATATACTGAGTTTGAGGATCTCTCCATTTAAGAGAGTGACCAATAGTAGATTATTCTGTCTGTAACTTAGAATCAAACTTAGATTAGAAACTCAGTAGTGTGAATAAAATAGAATATTGAATCAGCCGTTGAAACTGCTTTAACTTTGAGAGCTTATGATTTATTCATCTTTGTCTTGTTTTCTGTCCTAGTTCATATTATATTTAGACATCTTTGGCATTTAAAAAAAATTATTTGGCAGCAGTGTCAAACATGAATCTGATCAAACCTCTGGATCCAGCTGACATAAAACAAAGGAATGTGTTGATTGGCACCATGTGTATAAAACCAACAGAATGCAGGCTGTGGGGCTCTAGGTTAAATGCCCCAGGGTCCTCAAAAGATAAATTGTAAGGAAAAGAAAGTGTGGGAATGGTTTCAGGAAAACCTTTCACTTTCAAGAGATAGGTACTTTGAATATTTATTTAATTGAGACCTTTTGATATTTCCTATATTATGCAAACTCCTGTGCTGTATGTTAACTCAGGTTTAGAAACTGTGAATCACTGGCTTATAAAATTCAAGTTGAGGTAGGTGATAGGCATTGAAAACTTACCAATTGGCTCATTTTGGCTAATTTCGCATTTGTAAAACATTAATAACTTACTATTAAAACAAGCCAGTGCTATCTTAAAAGATGGTCCGTAGTAGCAAAATAACCTCCTAGCATTGAGTTTCTGGGATTTTTCCAATATTTAAGAATTTTGTGTCACCTTAAATATGTTTTGGAGGTATCTGATATGATGTACTGTATTAAGAAGGAGACTTTTCCTACAGGAATTTTTTTTTTCAATACATTTTTTTCCCCTTTTGAATTGACATTTAAGCATTGAAAGTAACGTGTGTTGCTCAGGAAATCACTACCAACTTAAGAGTTGGTAGAAATGCATCTCTTTGACAGGCCTGAAGCAGTTACTGCTGCTTAGGTTTCCACTATGAATGCAAGAAGAAAGTGTCCTCCCACTTTCTGTTGGATTATAGCAGCCCAGATTGAATGGGGGATTGCAGGGAGAATTTTTTTTTTTTTTTTTTTTTTGCAATTCATAAGTAACTTTGTGAACAGTAAAAGCCTGCTTTACCCCAAGTAAGAATTTGAGTTTACAAGAAAAGTATTGGGAAATATTTCCCTACACTGTTGACTTCCAATTGATTCTACTTTTAAAAGCATAAAGGTTCTGTCTAAGAAAATTAAAGACAAGCCAAAAAAAAAAAAAGAGTTAGTAGTAGTTTCTACTTTTTACATACTTTATTTGGATACAGTTAAAGAAATGTCTTAAGGTTTATTTTTGATGTTTAAATTTTTAGCATTGGACTTTGGTATTTGGAAGACATAAGGAATCTTATTTGAGTAAATCGTAAACTTTGGGCACAGGCATTTTATCTGTTTCAGTGTGTTTTAGCACATACTTTCATATTAGTAAATTTTGTGATTAGAGGTTCTCTGAATTTAATAGTGAGATTGAAGGTTGTCACAACATAAGCGATATATTGTATGTTGAACTGTTGCTTCAGTATGATAGTCAAGATTAGAAAATACTTAAATATTTCAAGCATATACCTATTGTCACCTTGTTCTTTTAGTCAGAATAACCTGTTTATTTTTAGGTAATGGTCTGAGCGTTGGGTGTTTCGGTTTTTCTTTTGAGTTGGGTTGAGCTAGGTGTTATTTGTAACTACATAATTTTTCTTCTAACTTATGAACATTTCATTTAAGTTTCTATCTAAAGATGGATCTTGAAATTTAGACATTAATTCCTAGTCTTTAAATCAAGGTTGTTTGGCATATACTTAAATAGCTTTAAATTATTTCTAGGGTAGTCAACTGTAAAATTACTGAATTTATGTAATTTTCTAAATGAAGGTTTTTTTTAAATTGGTGCTTATTTGGTGCTTTCAGCCCTTGCTGATGCTAAATGTTTTCTAGACTGGGGTTTTGTTTTGTAATGTGAAATGAAATACTAGAGGGCAGTAAGTTCCAATATAAACTGAATGAGTAGTGGTTCTTTGCTGGAGTAATAGAGACAACCATTAAGAAATCACATATAATTCTTTGTAGCTGATTAAAAAAAATTTTTTACCAAATATTCTGTTGATACATATTCATGTATCTTTTATTGTGTTTGACAAATATAATACCAACCTAAAATGTATTTCTTGCTTGTTACAGGATTTTATATTTTTTTGTGATGCTGTTGCATCATGGATTAATCCAAAAGATGATCTGAGAGACATGTTCTGTAAGGTAACTAAAAAGTCTTCATTATTCACATCTTGTGACTGTTACAGTCCTAGCTGGAAAGTTTAAATTATATTTCGTAGGAAACTTAGACTCTTCATCAGTATTGGTAGACTATATAACTTTTGTTCTTGGTAAAGAAGTTGAATTGATCTTTTCTTAAAGTACAGTAGAGCATGTACTTTAAAAATATTTTCTGAAGCACTATGACTGATTCATGTAGTCCCATTATCCCAATGCAAAATAGCATATATTTTGAAACACGACTGGCTAAGATTTGGAGTATAATATAATCTGTTGAACTAAGTAAATATAAGTGGTCACAACAGAGATTAAATCTGTGTGTTTTTTAGTGATGCCTTCTTTTGATTTGCTCCTGTCAGCACTCAACTATAACAAAATAAATAAAACGCTGTTACACATTTGAATTATTTAATATTAAAATTAGTGAACTATAGTTGCAACCATGAACCCAAAGCTTTGTATATTTTCAATTTGAATAAATTAAATATGGCATAAAAATTTCATCCCTTGGGTGAATTCTGTAATTTTTGCTTTGTTTTCCATTAGTAGTATGTTAGAGATTGCTTAGAATAGACCTGTTACTAGGACACTTGCTGAATTCTAAATTTCTCAAAGCAAAGTTTAGCATATTCTATGAGGTGCTTTTAGGCAAGACATGGAATGGTGTAGAATTCAACAAAGTTTGAGAATAACTACTTTAAAATGTGTTAAAATCAATAAGGTTTGATTTCAGAAGCTTTGCAGATACGAGAGTCTCTTTTGCTATTGATAAATTAATGATTTTTTTTTTTTACTCTTTGTAGATCCTTCATGGATTTAAAAATCAAGTTGGGGATGAAAATTGGAGGCGTTTCTCTGACCAGTTTCCGCTTCCCTTAAAAGAGCGTCTTGCAGCTTTTTATGGTGTTTAATCTCATACACTTAAGCTGCAGTCCCATAATTAGGGGTAAGTTGTTAAGAAATTTGGAATTTTTCAGCATAAAGAAACTTAGGACTTAAATATAAAATTACTGAATAGAATAGAAGCTATTTGTTCTCCACAGAAGTTAAGGTAAACAAGTCTCATGTTATATTGGACCTTAGAATTACTTACGTGAAGGCTAGAGACTTTAAGAGAACTAGCAAGCAAGATAAAATGCATGATTCCACTTTGAATCCTAGGGAGAAAGAAATCCAAGTTAATATGCTAGTTAGATTATCAGCATTTCTTCAGCTATTCCTTTTTTCAACTTCTGCCCTATAAAAAAGGTCACCAGCATTCACTGTGGCAGGTTAGAGATGATTTCGTTTTAAAGCATGAGTCTGTCATCTCTTAACATATCAAGGACTTTTCTATGTTGGGAGCTTTAGAGAAAACCAGGTTGAATTAGAACTAGATTTGGGCTTAGTAAATATGAGTTTATTATTTATTCATCACATTTCATTGAGCACACCTACCTTGTACCCAGCACTGTGTTTTAAAATCATCAGTGGGAGATTCTGTTTTGATTTGGGGTGGTAGTGGAATAAGTCCACTTGGACTCTTGTTCCAGTTTTTCTGACTTGTTGGTCAAACTAACAATTCTGGTCTCTTAGCCTTAGTTTAGTTCCGTGGTTATTATGAGGATTGAATACTAAGCTGTATGTGATGCCAGAACTTAGTATGTTGCCTTAGACCCTTAAGTTGGCTGAATAAATGTTAGGAATATGGGTTTGTATAGTCATCCAGAACTTTAGCTTTTGAATGTGAGCTGAGACCTGTTCAACTGGAGAGCCAGAGAGTGTACTCAGTGTGTGTCCAGAAGACATAACGCTTATTTGAATGGCCTTTTATGTTGGAGTTTTTGTTTGCATACTTGTTTGTTTACTCTGAACTAGATTTTAAACTTGGAAAGATTGCAACATCTAAATTGACTAATCTCAGAGGGTAGTAGAAACGGATTTTGCAGCCTCTGGAATGTCTCAGACCCCTTTGTGTACGTTGTCCCATGGTGATCTTGAGCCCGTATTTGTGTCTTGTGGGTTTAGTATTTTAGAAAAGTGCTTGATTCACATGAGAATTGACTTTTGGCTTCAAGGGCTGAAAGATTAAAACTGGACTAGCATTGAAAATGTCTTTATCAGAAAAATCAAGAGGCCTGGGGTTTAGGAAATGACTTGAGTGAAATAAGGTTGGAAGAATTGTTATTAGAAACATCAAGAAAACAGGGGTTAAAATTTACTTTTTGGTATTTGCTGAATATAGTGACCTTGGTGCAGTGTGAACACTGTTAATACTTCCTAAACCAAAACATCAGACAAAACAACCAAAACTGTCATGCTTTTTTTTTTTTTGGCTTAATATTGGGGGGAAAGAATAATATTTTAATTCTCACTAAGGAAAGTGATTGTCCTAAATAAAGTGCTACTTAATTTTGAAGGTAGTAGGGCAACTTGTTGTGTAAGAAATAACCAGCTCCCATTGGAACCCATTGTGCAGAAGGGGATAAAGAATTAGATTGATGGCATCTTACGAAGTGTATTTCATCTGTGTAATGTGCTACACACCTCTCTATGCATGTCCCCAGCTTGGAGTCACTTTTCACATCTGATGCAGGTGACGTTGAGAGCCACAGGAGAAGGAAGCAATGTGGTTCTCATTAGCATGATCTTAGACAATTTATCCAATTTCTCATTTTCTTTAGGTAGAGGTATCATTGTTACTTAATTTTGTGTTCCACTGGCTTTAAAAGAAAAAGTTTTTTTAAGTTATAAAATTATTTTATTTTGCTTTCTTACAGGTCCTTCAGTCTTGGAGACTATGAGGGAGCCTCTGCACCCAGGGAAAATGTTACCCTTTACAGGGGGGAAGGGTAAACCAGTAGGGAATACAGTACAATCCCAACCCTACTGGGAGGGGCGGGAGGGAGGTGTTGCCGTCACTGTATTAAGTCGATGTTGGGAAACGTTTTAACATCTGGAGCCTTTGTGGGTGGAAATCTGTCTCCAATTACAACTCCGCACTGGATGAGAAGAAACAAAAAAACTATTCGATCTACTCACTAAGCAGTACATTCTGGAATATTATGGGGAATCGTACCAAAACAAGAACCATATAAATGATGCATAGGGATAAGAAAGAGTAAGAATTATATAGCGCACAATAAAGGAAACCTAAGAATGGGGGGTTACAAAACAGTAAAGTTTTTTTTTTTATTTAAAGGTTTTTATAAAATTTCCCACATAGTGGGGCCTTGTTTTTGCATGCTGACGAAGAACTACACAAATGAAGCTAATAGAGTTAAAATCAGCTTGCCTACCCATAGTAGAAGCAGGTTCTTGGAAGTTACAATTTAAGGTACCCCAAAAAGTTGGAAATAAAACAACAAATTTAAACAATGAAGCACCCTGTGAAATGCCAAATGAGTCACTCCTTTCACCTTTATGGGGTGGGCAGGGCGGGCGGGATAAATGGGGTTGGGCATATCAGACTAAAGATTGACATCTTGGTTTCGCATTAAAACATCAATGTAGTGGATATAATTTGATGGTTGTACTTCATTAGACTTAATTTCTAGGCCAAGACATTATTTTTAAAGTGCAGTTTAAGGTTCGGGCATGCATTCTGGCTCATAGTGATTGAAAGTACTTTAAATTAGTGGGGAAGTAGCATGCTTGCATCACATAGAGTGAGATTGGTATTCAGTTACCTCTGTTGCGCCAGTTTGTGTTGCAGTTTACCAATTCAATATAGCCCTGCATTTAAAATTCCTTTTTAAGATTTGTGAATTT